GGCGCCGAGCAAGAAGGCGTCAAGGCAGCTGGTCGACCTGGGAGGACGTCGGGCATCGACCAGCTGGCACCGACTTCGGGGACGCCGGTCACAGGGGCCTGCGACCAATAGGGCGGCCCGATCAGGTGCGGTTGCCTGGTCGAACGAGTTACCCGGGCGATGTGTGCGAAGGCCCCCAGGGTGGATGCTGGTATCCCAAGGTCGACGTGGCTGGTGGGCGCGATCGTTGGCGTAGACTCTGCCAGGCGGCTGCACTGTGCTCGTGACAAGACGTGGAGCACCAACCAGCTACACGCACCTGCGAAGCTGGTGCACCGTTGTCCTGCGGGTGCAACGCTGTGCAGCCGACTTGCTGCAGTGTTGGCACACCAAGGACCTGCAATGTTGGCGAGCCAATACTCTGCAACGCTGGAGCGATGCGAGCTCTGCTGCGCTGGATCGCGGTCGACCGTGCTGCGCTGGAGGTCTAGCTCTGATGTAGTCTGTGTTGCCAATGTTGTTGCTACCATTCTAAATCATTACTGTGAACTTTCCTTAGTGAAACTCTTACCAATTTTCCATGTGAACAAGCAAGTAGTGTGTGTACAAGAAAACGACTAAGTGAATGAACGAAGATATCACTCGAGTCCCGTGCCTAGCTCGTAGTCTAGCTCTCATTGTACGAGTTATCTCCACAGCCTCGTCGTCTCTTTTTCCCTTTCTTGGTTTTTTCTTTCTTTCTTTCTTCTTTCTTTCTTTCTTTCTTTCTTTCTTTCTTTCTTTCTTTCTTTCTTTCCTTCTTTCTTTCCTTCTTTCTTTCTTTCTTTCTTTCTTTCTTTCTTTCTTTCTTTCTTTCTTTCTTTCTTTCTTTCTTTCTTCTTTCTTTAGGGGTGATGTACTATTCTTGCCCTGCAGCTCCGCACGTGCTTTCTTCATTTTCCAACACGCCAAAACTTGACGTTCGGCTTCGCGCAGAATTATCATGTTTTAGATTTTGCTGGTCGCTGATTCATGTCGTTCTTGTTGATATCTATCGGGCCAGCAATCATGGGGGGTGCCGATCGGTCTGTGCCGAAATTTTTTTTTGCACGTTGCGTTGCTAGTGTTGACCCTTGGTTAATGCGTCGAACCGTTCGGCTGTGCAGACCATGTCGTGGTAGTTACAAACGTTCGCCGCGATCACCTGTTGGTGGACTTCGTTTTTTAGTCCCGCAATGGACACCTAGGTTTTTTCGCCTTCGGTCCGGTCATCGATTCCGTTGAAGAAGTTTTCCATCTACTACGTGTACTGCGCTACACTGTCGATTTGTCAGTGACGATGAATCTGCTACCGCGCCATGTAGGACAAATTTATCGATACGAAATGTTTGATGAGGGCTGCCTGAAATTGCGCCTACAAACCTTCGGCCCAAAATTCGTTGCTACCGTAGATCCATTCGAGTTCTGGGCCTTGCAACAGCGTTGCCTTGAGCCGAATCTGCATCGCGTAGTGTATCGAGGTCGTACAGCCAAAAACATTTCGAGTGCAGCGATGAATCTACTATGTCCGTGCCTTTTGCGCTCGGATCGAACGCCTCCGGTAGCCTCGAACGAACAGCCTCGAGATTCACTGTAGTGGGTGCCGCTGCTGCAGGTTGAAACGTCGGTGTCGTAATAGCTGCGGCTGCCGTTGCCGCTGCGCTTGTTGTGCTGCTGCGACTGCCGATTTATTCGCAATCAACGGCTCCAGTCGCGTTGCGTGGGTCTGTTCCTGCTCGGCACAGAGTTGCTACAGGAGCCAACTAGAGGTGACATATTATTTGGGCTGATACACAGTCATCAGGTATTTCCAAGCCTCCAATGGTGGAGTTGGGATCTCCTTGTAAGAGCGAATGCCAAGTTGCTCCGTGGGCGTCATGCTTCTTAGCAGCACGATGTATGCCATGAGGGACTCGGTGTAGTACCGAGTCTTGGTCTTCTGTGTCAGTCACCGGACTTCGGTAGGAGGCGTCGAAGTAATGGTAGCATGTGTTGTGTGCCGTACAAGCTCTTATCCAAAACTCCAAAGACGGTACTAGTTTTGATATTGGAGATGTTCAAGAAGTGTGTCCGCGCAGAATTGATAGCTCCATCACTTGGATAGGGGCAGTTGGCATTGAATCGTTTGTGTCAAGTGAGAAGGTACGTGGGGCAGTTCCACTATCAGTCGTGACCAGTTAGGTGGGTTGCGTAGGTTGGGAGGAGGTTCTTGCGTCACCATTCTGCAATGTTTGGAGTCCTTTACTCCAGGGTCGTCAACCGTTGAAGTAGCTGCTCGATGACGGCAGTGCCAATCGTAGTTATCGTCTCCGATGTCATAGCAGAATTGGGCTAATTTTCAGTTGTTTCATTTTCTTGGCCTCCTGATCCTCCGACCATCTTGACTTGGGGGCATGTGCCGCTTGCGGAGGAAAATAAGGCAACAGGATTGATGTGAGAGTACGACGACTTTGCTATGATTTACTAGCTTGATTATGCTTTATTATGCATTATCTAGCTTAGCTTTGCTTTATTTTGCTTGCTTTTGCTAGATTTCCTAGGTTCGTTGCTTTACTATATTTATTATAGTTATAGGCACCGAACTAGGTTGAGTGCACCGAATTCTAGGCTTTTCGGTTGCCACCGAATTGCCTTCTACCGAATTCGGGAAGGACCCGTTCGGGACGCTTCGCGACCCGCGGAACCTTCTAGTAACACCAGGGTTACTGCCTTTGTGTCGAGCCTATATATAGCCTCGCCTTGTACCCAAGTGGATTATTCAATAGTTCAATCTTTCCTGAACCAGATCCTCACAATTGACTACGGGGAAGGCACGGGTGTTGGAGTGATCGTAACGTTCCTTATTCGTTTGGTTGTGTTCTCACTATTTGCGCATTTACGAGAAAAAATGGCAAAAGTTTCACTAGCAAAAGTTCACAACAATGGTTGAACAAGCAAAGCAACAATAGACTACATCAGATGAAAGACAGCTTAGCATGCAAGCAGGTCAACCTCCAGCGCACCACGGTCGACCGCGTTCCAGCGCTGCAAAGTCCGCACCGCTCCAGCGCTGCAGAAAGGCGGCTTGCCAACGTTGCAAGTCGACTGCGTGCTAACGCTGCAGCACGGCTGCTGCACAGCGTTGCACCCGCATGACAGCAGTGCACCCGCTTCGCAGGTGCTCGCAGTTGGTTGGCGTGCTGTGCCCCGTCACGTGCACAACGCAGCCGCCAAACCGACCACGTGCCCACAACTGCACCTCATCTTCCACGTCGACCTCATGTTACCACCTCCGAGGTCGGCTTTGCGAGAATCACTGGGCGACTATCGCGCACCTCCGCAGAACCCCGTCTCCCGGGTAACTTGGTCGAACTGGAAACCACCAGGTCGTCGTCGACCAAAAGCTGTACGTGTTGCCGACCACCCAAGTCGGCGACCGCTAGCCGATTTCACAAAGTCGACGTCCTCCCAAGTTGGCGTGACCAAGTCAGCACCTCCTTGGTTGACCTCACTGCGTCGATCACCAAAACCCGGCGCCCTCCAAATCGGCACCACTTCTAGGTCGACAACGACGCCTTCCAAAGTCAGCGCCCCTCCCCTCATCGACCACTGGGTCGAAGTCGCCCGCCGGCGTCCCAACGTCGACGACGTCGCAGTGGCCCCGTGCAGGTCGACCAAGCCTGTCAACATGCGCGCCTAAGTCAGCGTCGCCCACTGCAATTGGTCGGCTGTGCTCCCCGCACAACACGCCTACGAAGTCAGCTCCGCCCAAGCGCAGACGGGGCCAACGCACAGCTTCCGTTGACATCGCTCGCCAGTTTTGGGTCGCACATACTTCCGGAAGTGTGTGCGTGAAGTATCACCGAGTCGCTCTCATACCATGTTACAATCCTAAAAAGAGGACTTAGACTAGGATCGGCTCAGGGTTGATCGCATGTGGTATTGCTGCCGAAGTAGTGACCCCGGGTCAAAGTGAATGTAAATGATTCAAGTGATTATAGCAGATGCATACAATGGCTTATATTGTAATTCAAGTAAATACGAAAGTCCTAGCTAGCCATGTAGCCTCATTACAACGAAATTCAAACCGTGCGGCACGAGAACCCGTTTCAAACCTGTTTCTGCCATTTTCACTTCGAATGTTTTGCGAACGCATGAAGTGAAAATGGCTTTTTACCATTTGCGGAAACCCGTTTCAAACATGTTCAGCCATCTTTTCCATAAAAAACAGTTTCATGCATGAATGAGAAAGAAATCTGAAGGTATGGATGCTCAATAGAGAAGGGGAATACGGATACATACAATCACCAAGGACCCCGTGTGAGCTGATTCGTGTGACATCAGAGACTTCAGTGAGACTTTTGAGTCTTAATCAAACGAACTATATGGGGAATTTGGAATTGTGATCCCCGACCATTGTTACTCTGCTACTGCTGTTGCTGCTGGTGGTGTAGGTGCTGCGTTGGAGGCATCAAAATGATTTGGCCTGCCACGGATGCTCCTTGAAGTGGAGGATCTGTAGGGATGACGGAGAGATTATGGTACTAACGTTCCCCCTCGTGTATGCTCTCTATGTGCCTGATGTGGTGGCTGCATCCTCTCTTGCTGCGCTTCTTCACGGAACAACTGCTGCTCGTGCACCTCCATTGGCTGTGACGTCTCCAGCTGCCTCACATCAACAGGCCCACTCTCGTGAAATCGCGCCCTTCTTTCCTCCATGAAGGACGGAACCTGGCCTATAAAGAGTGGAGAGGGGAGAGAAGGCATGAAATCCGTGATGCCACTTCTTTTGGCATCAGACCCAGAACCACTTGCACCACCTCGAACATGCGCATGCATACAAGCCCACGTGTCAACTGGGGATGATTCCAAAGAGAATGATACACTATAAATCTCATGGCTTTGAGGCTCAGGCCAAGGCTGACACTGTAGCTCATGGATGGCATTTCTTGGCTCCATATCCCGGCCCCTCATTGTCTGTCCCCCACATGCTTATTAAAGACCCCTCATAATTAAAATCACCGTCAGAGGAGGCTCTGGTGGATTGCAGGGCCGTCTTTCCCTGCTGTGCACGTGGAGGATTCTTGGGTGGCTGCGCTAGTGGAGGCTGCTTCTTCTGTGTTTGCAGCAGTGGAGGCTGCTGCTGCTGTGGATGCGGCAGTGGTGGCGGCTGCTGTTGTGGTTGCGGCAGTGGTGGCGGCTGCTGCTGTGGTTGTGGTAGTGGTGGGGGCTGCTGCTGTGGTTGTGGTAGTGGGGGCTGCTGCACCTGGTGGTGCTGCTGATAGTGCGTCTGCTGCTGTGGTTGCAGCGGTGGTGGCTGTTGCTCCTGGTACTGCTGCTGTGGTTGCGGCAGGGGTGACTGCTGCTGCTGCTGTGGTTGCAGCTGTGGTGGCAGCTGCTGCTGTGGTTGCAGCAGTGGTGGCGGCTGCTGCTGTGGTTGTGGTATTGGGGGCTGCTGCACCTGGTGGTGCTGCTGATAGTGCTTCTGCTGCTCTGGTTGCAACGGTCGTGGCTGTTGCTCCTGATACTGCTGCTGATAGTTCTACTGCTGCTGTGGTTGCGGCATTGGTTGCTGCTGCACCTGGTACTGCTGCTGATAGTGCTGCGGCTGCTGTGGTTGTGGCAGCAGTGGCTGCTGCTCCTGGTATTGCTGGTGAGATTGCAGCTGCTGCGGTTGCTGTGGTGGGTGCTGCTCCTGGTTGTGCTGCTGATATTGCTGTTGCTGCTGTGGTTGTCGTGGTGGCTGCTGCTCGTGGAAGTGCTGCTGATAGTAATGATGCTGCTGTGGTGAATGCTGCTCCTGGTAGTGCTGCTGATAGTGCTGTTGCTGCTTTGGTTGCTGCAGTGGTGATTGCTGCTGTTGGTAGTGCTGCTGATAGTCCTGCTGATGCTGTGGTTGTGGCAGTGGTGTCTGCTCCTGGTAGTGCTGCTGATAGTGCTGTTGCTGATGTAGTTGCGACAGTGGTGGCTGCTGCACCTGGTATTGGTGCTGATAGTGCTGCTGCTGTGGTTGCGGCAGCAGTGGCTGCTTCTCCTGATAGTGCTGCTGCTGTTGGTGTGTTTGTGGTGGGTGCTGCTCCTGGTTGTGCTGCTGATATTGCTGTTGCTGCTGTGGTTGTCGTGGTGGCTGCTGCTCGTGGAAGTGCTGCTGATAGTAATGATGCTGCTGTGGTGAATGCTGCTCCTGGTAGTGCTGCTGATAGTGCTGTTGCTGCTTTGGTTGCTGCAGTGGTGATTGCTGCTGTTGGTAGTGCTGCTGATAGTCCTGCTGATGCTGTGGTTGTGGCAGTGGTGTCTGCTCCTGGTAGTGCTGCTGATAGTGCTGTTGCTGATGTAGTTGCGACAGTGGTGGCTGCTGCACCTGGTATTGGTGCTGATAGTGCTGCTGCTGTGGTTGCGGCAGCAGTGGCTGCTTCTCCTGATAGTGCTGCTGCTGTTGGTGTGTTTGTGGCAGTGGTGTCTGCTGCTCCTGGTAATGCTGCTGATGGGACTGCTGCTGTTGTGGTTGCGGCAATCGCGGCTGCTGATTCTGATAGTGCTGCTGCTGCTGCGGAAGTGGTGGCTGCTGCTCCTGGTAGTGGTGCTGAGACTCCTGCAGGTGCTGTGGTTGCGGCAGTGGTGGCAGCTTCTCCTGATAGTGCTGCTGGTAGTGCTGCTGCTGCTGTATTTGCGGCAGCGGTGGCAGCTTCTCTTCATAGTGCTGCTGATAGTGCTGCTTCTGCTGCTGCTGTGGCAGTTGTGGCAGCTGCTCCTGCTTGTGCTGCTGGTTGTGGTGCAGTCGCTGCTCACATTGCTGCTGATGGTGTTGTTCAACACAGCCCGAGATGCCAGACATGCCAGCAGCAGTGAAATGCCCATCACTGTGCCACAACATGGCTTGTGCCTCGGGCGCTCCAAACGGGTCTGAATCGCTCAAAACCAAACTCCCCACAGCCTCTGTGCTCCATGCACTGGCAGTTTGCTCCCTTGCTGCCTGCACTGCTGTGTTACCATGCGGCTCATCCCAAGTGGGCTCTAACACCATTTCAGGGACGTGTTGCACATTCTCTAGCAGGAGCCCGGAACTATGCATGCCAGCATCGGACATCTCACTCTGCTCTGGCTGGAGTTGATACGGTGACACTTGACTTGTTAACGTCTGATGCACTCCCGGAGTCTTCTCGTCTACATGGTTTGGCAGCGTGGAAAACATCGTTTGCAATGCAGCCATGACTTGAACGTCTTCACTTAATTGATCAACATGACGAATCTCGTCCCACGAGCTGTGTGTTGCACCAGGTCGATGCCCTGGACCCAGGTCAGAATCCCTCCTGGCCCCCTCTGCCCTTGGTAATGGCTGAACGAAGCTCATGCCATCTCTGCGTGTGTCGCTGCCGCTGTCACCTTCCTCCGCTTCTGCTGCCACATGCACCAACACTTGACTTGGGGGGCTGCTGTGGTGAGCCATGGGCATGGCAGCAGTGATGGCCCACGAATTTAGGGGGTGTGAGGGCTCAGAAACCAGCGGAGGTGCTTGCTCAAGGTGCATGGATTCTGTCTCGAGCACCATTTGCGGCTGACCGTGCCATTGCGGCTGCTGCTGCTGCTGCTGCTGCTGCTGCTGCTGCCCCTCCTGCTGCTGCCCCTCCTGCTGCTGCCACCGCCCTTCTTGCTGCTGCTGTGGAAACGGCATCTGATTTGAGACGTATGGGTGAGGGGTTTGAAAATACAAATCCAGGTTTTCTATCTGAAGCCCTCCACCTAATGCAATCTTCGTTCCATGATGCATCTTGTCCTCTAGAACTATCCCTTCTCCAGGCACAAGCCCTATACTTTCACTGCCCACCTCTTCCAGAAGGAACTCCTCGTGTCCACATTCCTCCTCCACGCCACCATCACCAGCAACAGCAACCACGTGTGCAGAAGCGCGAGGGATGATGGTGTTGAATCTGGGACACGGCTCCCCAGGGAGAAACATGGCCAGAGGGATGGAGAGGATGGATGCAGGCGCGGAGGCAGACGAGGTGGAAGGGCCAGCTCTGCTCGAGCTGCTTCCACTGGCAGTGCTGCTATCTGCGCATGTCGTCAACCCAACCACGTCCGTGTCCGATATCGCTTGATCCGCCACCACAGCTTGGCGGCCCGCTGCCTGTGTCTCCTCCATATCCATTGCGTCTCCATATGCCGTTTGCCAGATTCCATCTCCTCGCAGTCGCGCACCTGCTGCCTGCTCATCGTGTTCCACCTGAATTCCTTCCGAAGAGCTCATGCCTCCCTCCGTGACCTGCTCGGCACGCACCCTCACACCCAAGCTAGTCATGTCAATAACCTTCTCTGCAGCAGCTTCCCCCTGTACTTCGGTTACTGCTCCTTCGCCCCCCAGTGTCAGCTCAGGAAAGTTAAGCTTCGTCTTTGTCCCTCGAATCTCCACTGCGGCTCGATCAAACGCCAGGGCAGCTTCCTCTGCAGTGGCAAACGTCCCCAGCCACTTGCGCACTCCGAAAGTCGTGTCCTTTATTTCAGCAATATACCGACCTTCACCTCGCTTCCTCACCCCGCGGTACTTCCCTGGTTGGGTGTAGCTCCGTGATCGAGCTGCAGTGCGGTTGTATGTTGACTCTGATTGAGATCCGCTTGCGGGAGATTTTGTGGCGCCTGACATCTGTCGCTGCAGTAGCGGCTGTAGCTGCGCTGACAGTTGCTCCAACCTGAGCTGCTCGTGTGGCTGCTGCACAGGCTGAGCCTCCAAGTGTAACTGCGGCTGTTGCGGTGCTTCTGGGTGGGATGCTGGTGCGAGCTGCTGCTGTGGCTCCTGCTGCTGTTGCGTCAGAGTGCTGTGCGCCCAATGCAACTGCGGCTGGGATGGCACGTGCGTGATTGGAACTGAAGAGTAAGCTGATATATCCGGCACATCCTTGGACTGGCTACACGGCTGCTCCGGCTGTGGTGTTTGCCCATTGTCCTGATATATGCCAGGCTGGGGCTCCCCCATAAGATGCTGCGGCAACGCTTGTCGCCAAGCATCTGAAGGTAGCTGCCCTTGCTGCTGCTGCTGCTGCTGCTGCTGCTGCTGCTGCTGCTGCTGCTGCTGCTGCTGCTGCTGCTGCTGCTGCTGCTGCTGCTGCTGCTGCTGCTGCTGCTGCTGCTGCTGCTGCTGCTGCTGCTGCTGCTGCTGCTGCTGCTGCTGCTGCTCTGTTTCTGCTGCTGCTGCTGCTCCTGTTTCTGCTGCTGCTCCTGCTCATGCTTATGATCCTGAAGCTGCTGTTGATGCTGCGGTTGATGGTGTTGATTCTGAATATGATGATGATGCATCTGCAGCTGCTCCTGCCCCTGCCCCTGCCCCATATGCAGCTGCTCTTGCCCCTGCATCTGCAGCTGCTGCTGCCCCTGCTGCATCTCCTGCTGCTCCTCCTGTCCAAACAACCCTGGTTGCACAGTCCCGGGGACTATCGGAAATTCAGTCTTCGTGCTCTCGAATTCCACCAGAGTGCTTGTTTGTATGGTCTGTTGTGCGTCACGAACATGACCCTCCAAGAGCCAGATTGATGACCCTTCATGCGCCACAAGACATGATGGTGCTGGTTGACGGGCGCGCCTGGTTTCTTGGCCAAAGTCAGAGGGAAACTCATGTTCTGCGAGTTCTTCTTGCCGTGTGTGCTGCATCGGCGCCGCAGCCACTCGATTTTGCCGCTGCCCGTCGGCGTCATCAGGCTCCGACTGCCCTGGAACGGTGTCCATCCTCTCTCCTACTGTAGTGTCTCAAGCAATTATGATAATTCACGCGGTAGAACGTCTTTTCTTGGGCTTCCTTAGGTATAGTTGATCAGATCCCCCCCATCACTACTAACAGTTGTGAAAACTGGCTGCTGACCCCAAAATGAAAGTTTTGTCTCGTAACTAGCCAAGTGGTAACTACTAAAAACTGTCGCTAAAGTGCTTCGAGGACAGTTATGATATGATTGAGACAGTTTAGAATGTGTCCCCATGCGACTTACCCCGGATCTGTCTGTACGTGAGGCGAATGTGAGTGCAAAACTAATCAGGCAAAAACGCTGTGGGGGACGCGTTAGGTGCTGCTCTGGATTTGCCGCAAGTGGCTGATCAGGATAGTATTGATCCAGCCTCGGAAATAGTGTTTGATCAGAATAGTATTGATCCGCAGCTGAGGTGCTGCTGCTGGGAGAAATAGGGCTCCTATAGTACTCGGAAGTCTCGGCTCCAATGGTAACCACGTGGTAGCCAACTCGATTATTTGCTTGTAAAGACGGTGTTGACTTCATCTCTTGGATTACCTTCTGATTACCACAGATTGGTTTTCTCGTGTGGAGCAAGGGTTTCTGATGTAGGACACAGTGAATCCTTTGACCCAATTTACCATGAATAAACCTTACACACTTTCGAGCAAGGCCAATTGGAGGGGATCAACGCTGGGTGTAAAGATTTTTGTTGAGGAAATTTCTTCAGTAAATTATCGGCTGATTGGTTTCCAAAAATCAACCCGACTACGGCGTTCAGCCGGCAGCTGTTTTTTCTGGGAGAAGCCCCACCTTGGCCCCATACAAACGGAAGTGGAAAGGGGATTCTAGTTGTGATCTTTGCATATACCCACAGCAAATCATTGCAAGGAAACGAACAACAAACAATTTTCTAGCACATATGAAAAATAAATTCCGGAGCTTGGACGGCGAAATCATAACTATTAATCATTTTGCCGGCGAGACACCAAGCGGGTTGCCCCAGCACGCAGCTTGTTGAATCAGCAACTGCACTTGCAGGGTTGTTGACTCTCGACTCGAAGCTGTAGACACCACGAACAATTCAGCACAATATCTCCAGGGGTAACTCCGTGGACACTCCAGTGGGCATTTCAAAGGGTGACCCCGTAATACTGAGGTGCCTTGGGTGCATCCAAATCGAAAAGCCAAGCTCTCCTTGTCGTTACAGAGTTGGTCCCAGCCGAAGCAACAAACTCTTGCTGTCAGCTGAAATTACTGTAGAGTATTTGCCCAGATAGGCTGATCTGCGCAGCAGGACTGTTTTGTCGCTTCCGCACCTTGGTCCAAAACATTAGAATTTCAGTTCAACCGCAAATTTTCGCGCCAACACTCACAACCGCATCGCGTAACGAGCCCACAGTCAGCCCCGCGTGACACTGGGTTAGCGGTAATAATGCAAAAGGTAACTGAGAAGCGGTTAAAAGATGCGTGCGATCACCATTATATAGATTGTCTCGCATTTCGTAACTCATTTTCACTTCCAAGGTAATTCGTTCACGTATTTGGTAACTCAAACACTGACAATGTTCACTTGGGTGGTAACTAGAAGAAATCCGCATGAGAATTAACCCAAACTTCATTTTTCTTTTTTCTACCGCTTTCGAAAGCAAGATCGATGCATCCTGACACACAAATTTTGCCCAATTTAACCCAATTCAATAAGTTCGAAAGCAATAAGATTTTTTACAGCATTATATTATATATGCAAGTATTGTTCGACTTGCTATGTATTAAATTTTCGTCACAATAAGTTGTTGGGAAAACGAGGAATCTAATATGTACCCAATAATGATTTCCTAAATAAAACATATGTTATTTGTATGAGACTAGCCAGAGTAAATTTCTAACATGGAGTACGCACACATTCTAAGTCGTCTCGAAAAAAAATTGCACCCGATATCTGAAAGCATCAACCGAAAACTCTCCTTGGAAAAACTATTCAATCGTGAAAGTTTTGCTTAGGGAAAATGTGTTAATGGTAATATATATCAGGCTTAAAAACGTTAATGATAACCATTACACGACGCGTTTGGTAACTAGCCGCTCATTAGAAACACTTCAACGAATAAACTTTATTTCGAGGTTTTCTTGCTCGGTCAGACACAATTTCAAAAAAGAATGCAATTTACACGTAAGTAACGGTACATCAAACTTTTTTTATTAAAATTGATATGTTTTTCCATTATATTCTAGAACACTATCTATTCAAACCTAATGCGCATCTAGGCCAAATTAGTATAAACCCCTTTCGAATAGCCATGCGATTTTGAAAACATCAACCCTAAATGCTTTGACACAAGGTGTTTCGGGTTGATTAAACGAAAACACATGCGATCCGGTAGATGCCATCCAATAGAAGTTTGATGTTATTCAGGTTATATATTTAGACTACGTTTTGATATAAAAAGGTGCCATCCTACGGCTTCTTCAAGTTCATGCCGGACAGGATCTCTGTCACCCCACTGCTGGTCGGCCGACACGACCTCCTCACGTGGAAGGAGGCCATCGAGCCCCAGCTGGAGATGGTCGGGCGGATGTGTTTCGCTGACGGCACCGTGGAGACTCAGCCTGAGAGCAACGCCGAGCTGCGGCGGAGTTCCGCGCCATGCAGCTGCTACCTTTCACCGTCATCTCGCGGTGCTGCTTGCCGGTTGTGCAAATCGCCCTGAAGTCGTGCCGGAGTCACCTTGATGCCGGCCACCGAGCGTGGCAGTTCATCACGTCGACGTACCAGGTCACCGACGACCTGTACATCGGCTAGCCGGAGGAGCAGATGACACACCTGCGGATGGGCGAGCAGGAGACGGCGGCCGACTGCAACCGAGCTCGGCGCCTTCTTGCCTGCATGAGGATGGTCGGTGTCAAGTACTCTACGGCGTCGTACATCACGCACGTCACCCACGAAGATAAGAGGAGTCGTTTTCACTCACTAGTGGGCAGCCTTATGTATGCGACATTCAACACCCGACCGGATGCCGCCTTCGCCGGGCAGCTGGCTAGGGTTGTTCAATGCCCTAATGAGGAGCAGGTAGCAGGTGGCAAAGTACCTTGGCCAAACACCAACCGTTGGGCTACAATAATCGGCGGCGGCGCAAAGGCGCCAAAAGGGCGCGGATGGTGTTGAACCAGAGCGTTGTTTCCTCATCGCATTCTTAGATGTTTCTTAGATGTTTCTTATGACAAGTGTGGGAGGATTCATTTGCTGTGTTGGTGGAAGCCTAACTGCTTGGGAGAGAAATACGCAGTTGATCATGCTTTGAGCTCAGTTGAGTCCAAGTACATGACACTCTTCCGTGCCGTACAGAAAATTGTGTGGCAGCGGCATTTGTTGATTGAGTTGGGGGAGGAGCAGCAAGGACCTACCCCTCTCTATTGTGAAAGACAGGGTGCCATTGCACTTGCGAAGAACCCTGTGTTGCACGGCCTCACCAAGCACATGAGGGTGCAATGGCGTTTGACAAGGAGCATGGTGGCCACGGGTGAAGTTGAGTTGCACTACGTGAAGACGACGGCACAGCCAGCTGATATGATGACCAAGAGGCTGATGGAACAGCAGCATTGGAAATGTTGCAAGCTGGCTGGAATGGCCTTGAACTCAGAGGAGCTAGTTATTGGGCCAACAATCCAAGGGGGGGTTTGATGGTGCAACCTTATGGTTTGCACTCGGCTTGTTGTCCGTGTGCGTGCATCCATGTGAGCATGGAATGACATGAGGGCATAAGTTAATATATATTTCATGCATATAATAGTGTGAGAGTGATGAGTCATGATGTCGAATGCATGTGTCGAGTCAATAGCGAGTTATCGCTAGTCGCGTGTCACGTCGTCCTTTGCGTGCCGTGAGTATTTTAATGTTTTTGCGTTTGTCGAACGTACGGCGTGTCGCAGGTTTGAGCAGCAGACATTCAAGAACTCAATGATGAGTTTATGGTGAAAAACCAGATCCTTAGTTTCAAGAATCAAGTGATTTCGAAGCTCGCCAAAAGGGCAAACTTCAAGATAGTGAGAATAGTTACATTACAATGTGTAGTGTAACATTTCTCTTGGTGTAGGCCCTTGTGGAGGGTAGTTTCTGTTAACGAGAGTGGAGTGTTGGTCCCGCCCTTGCTTGGGCAACGTCGACGACTTGGTCGGATGTACGGGTGAAGCAGCCGACCGTTCACAGTGAGGGAGCTGCTCGACATGCTTCGTCGAGCTGCAGGAGACCGCTGTGGTG